TATATATATATATATTTGTCGTCCGAAAGCTTAATAATGCTAAAACTGAAAGTTATGATAGTACATATAATTTTTAAATGATACCCAATTCATGATCAGTTCATAAAGAAGATCCATAGTTGTTTGAGATAACTGATATGTTTGATGCTGTGTTAAAAAGAGAAAAAATATTATCTAAGAAACCACTGCAGAATTTGCATTTTCTAATAAAATATATTAGCTGTTAACTCTAATAAATTATAACACTGCTGTAAAATACTGTATAAACAAAAGAATATCAACATACTAGAAGGTTGAAGCTCTTGCCATAACTACAGTACTATGAAATCTTCCATCCTGCGTTTTATCTAAAGCGTGGTCTTTTGGTGATAATGTATAACTAATGTTGCTCAAATAGTTGTATGATTTTTTTTTTTTAATGCAGCGATTATATTTAAAATTTGCTATTTTAAAATTTCAGCTGAATTTCATGGACTGTGGGAAAGTTTAATATATGACAATGAAATAAAGTCAAATGTAAGTAAATTCTGTTTGACTATGCCTGCGTGTTTTATACAGAAGCAGTAATTTGTGATAGCCTTTTATTTACATTTATTTGGCTTGCAGAACTGAAGACCATATCTGCAATGTAATTTTATCATTCCTGAAATACAGTGGACGCATCCCCTTATCTGATAAGCTTAAAGCTACCCTGCAAGGAAAAACAAATGACCAAAAAAGGTCTACCTGTTAAAAAAGAGAGTAAATACTTCTCCCAATGGCCAGCACCACCAAATTCCATTTTGTTCAAGAGAAATTTTCCTCTTAAGTCTGCTGGCAAACTAACACTTCCAAAAAAGTTGGTCTTGATCCCCCACTGTGCTAGGTGGTTCCTCCTTGCTGACCTTCACATTGCTTCATATTTGGGCATTTGTGTTTCCTGACAGGGTCGCTTTAAAGGATTTCAAGCTTTAGCCTTTCTCTCTTACAAAGGTACATACAGGCTTTTACTTGGAGGACATTGTGCTACCCACTTTTGATTACAACCTCTAGAATTCTATAGCTATGTTCACACCATGTCCAGAGCAGATCTGCAAATCCAGCGCAGATCGTTTTTGCAGCGTTGCTGTGCATTTTTTTTCTTAGCTTAAAATGGGTTTTTATGTGCGTTTGCATGCATTTATTATTTTCCATGCATTCCGGACCAGAGAAAATTAAACCAGCAGTATCTTTTTTTTCTTCTTTTTTTTTTGTCTGGATCTGAAAGGACTGCGCTGCTGTGAACATAGCCCAGAAATACCATACGTTGGGATGCTTTTTTGGTCCAGGAACAAACTGTTCTGGTCGGGACATGATCTGGACATGGTGTGAACAAGCCCTCAAAGAGAACTCCCTTGCTACCTTAAAGCAGATCTAAACTGAGAAACAAAAATTTTATTTTATTGCAGTTCCCCAGTGCTTAGGCTATTTTTTTTGCCTTTATTTTCATCTAGCAATCCCATGAAAATACACTTGCTGTCCTTAGGTGGCTACACTCACTGTATCTATTTAGAGAGCTATAGCTGACTCTTAGGCCTAGTTCACACCAGTACGTTTTGTAGCGTGTTCAACGCTCTACGAACGCTCTACAAAACGCTCAAACATGAAAATCCCATTGTTTTCTATGGGTATGGTTCACACCTTGCCGTATTTCAGCCCGTCTGAGCGCGCTACAAAACGGCCTACGCCTGAAAAGGTACATGAGCTTCTTTGCTGCGTTTTTGTCGCGCGTTTCCATTGGGATACAGCCAAGTAGCCCTCGGAAAGGCGGTAAAAACGCGTGTCGCACGCGCATATTCGATACGCCTAGGTGTGAACAGAGCCTTATGCTGGACTTTAAACATGTATGCCTTTGGTCATCTCTACTGCAAGACATTGTTCTTGGGTTTAGTTATCTGCTCTGAGGCTGGCATCCTTTTATTATTGCTTTACTACATAGTGGATAGTTCTCAATCATCAATTAGTGCAATCAGCTTGTATGTAAAGATTGGCTTTATCTCGTTTTATTATGCAAATGTACCTTCTTTTTTTTGTGTTATTTAGGTTTTTTAATATTGGACCTTCGTTCAGAAATAGTTTTAAAAAGTGTTTTCTTAATCATACATTAAGAGATACCGGATAAAGTCACCCTGGTATATTGGGTTAGGCTGCTGCCTTCAGGAAATTGGACACTAGCAAACAAAGCTGTAACACAGCCTTGCATAACTCCCATCATGCTACAGTTTTTTGCTGTTGTGTCGTAGTAAAAGAGACATCTTCTCTCCTCTGAGAGAAGATGTCTCTTCTAGCAAGTTTTCCAGAGTTTCTGCAGATCCATAAGGGGCTCATGTTTGCAGCTTTCTGGATTAGCTGAGGCGATACTTGGACCCCCGTCGTGAGAAGGGAACAGGGCTTTGCTAGTAATGTTCCAGAAAAATAGGGGTTGTTTTACTCCTGGTGATCCGAGATTCTATAAATTACCCCTTATTACGTCCATCAACCGGTACTGTAACCAGTATATAGTGTATGCAAAAAAGAAAAAATGGGACTAGCTATGTAGTATAGCGCATCCAAAGGGTTAACAATAGATCGGGATAGACCAATAATTCAATCAAAAAAGTTTATACATAAATATTTATAGGGCTGCAGCTAACTATTATTTTCATAATCGATTAGTTAGCCGATTTATTGAGTTCGATTAATCGGATTAAAACTGCCGCGTTGGGCGTGGCGTGCAGGGCTTGAGTGTGGAGCCGCGAACAGACAAGGTAATAGCCGAATAATCGACGATCGAAAACGTTGGTAACGTTTTCGATCGTCAATTTTATTCGACTAAATCGAATCGTTTTTGCAGCTCTAAATATTTAAGAAAGACACAGCCATTAAAGCACTGTCAAAACAATTAAAATCAGGACAAAAACACTGACTATAAACCTCATACAATGTAGCAGGGTTAGAATATAAGCTCTTATGATGAGTACACGGATATCGAGACCAATCACCAGCTATACTATATCTATGCGAGTGTACACCGCCTCCGACAAGTGTAATTAACCCCGTCCGGGCTGAATTTTAGGGAGGAGGGTAATCACAACCAAACTGAAATGAGCATTGATTCCGTTTAAAATCCCTATTGGGCAAGTGACATAATTATATATCAAGGTGATAACAGCTGCCGTAATGGATTCTCGTGTCATAGGAGTCCAAAACGGGTTTTTGCGTGTGTTTGTGGGGGAGCGGAGGACTTTTTAACAACATTTTGTGTGTTTACGTTTTCTATTTGTAACTATTTTTTTTAGCTTCTTTTAGTTTTTTTTGTTTTTTTTTTTACACTTAACTTTATTGCTATCACATAGAGGGCTAAGAAACCCTCTATGTTATAGCCAATTCACATGACAGGTCATCTATATGGAGACATCAGGGGTCACCTAGGGACCCCCAGAGAAGCTGATGATGCAGAGATCTCGGGAGCGGCGGCAACGGAGATGGCAAGGGGGGGGCGGGAGCAATCGGCGTCTCTAGACAGGCTGGCTGTTTACATTTCTGGCAATTTCCCCACTCATGTGCATGCTTGGCCTCGCCCTCCTGCTCTTATAAGGCTCCCGTCTGGCCGTTCAGGAATGGCCATGGAAGGGAGGTGGTTAATAGTGGGCTGTCCCCGTAGTGGACCCAGGCCATTTCCTGTCATAACAATACTGTCCCTGTAGAGGACAGCCCAGTGTTTTAAGACCCTTTTGGCTAAAAGACTGGAAACCCTGTTCAAGGCCTTATTCTCCCAAGCAGGTACTGCCCTGCAACCTGCTATTGTGGTTATGTCCCTCTAATGACATGTCTCGTAATTCTGGATTTACTTCTGTTTTCCAACAACTGGAGCTTATGCTTGTGGCCCTACTTTACTATGTTAACAGACTATTGGATGGACTTATGGCCGATATTCACAAATTTTTAAATCGGTATCTGTCATAAATATGGTTTGTGTGCCTCCACATCCAGTGCCTCCATTGTGCCCCGATGTCCAGTGCCTCTAGAGTGCCTCCCGCAGCCTAGTGTAAACAGCGGGCAGGAGCAATAGCCAGCCTACTATTGGCTTTTTCAAATTGCAATAGTAGGCTGGCTATTGCACCTGCCCACTGGGGCAAGAGAGAACTTTCCCTTTTAATGTTGGACCTGGGGTGCATTACTAGAGGGATCACTACCAGGAGGTCCTGTTTAACCTATATAGTTCTTTAGTTAGAGCTCATTTAGAATACTTTGACAGAATGAGTCCAGGGATGGGCAACAAGAATGGTGAAAGATCTGAGGAATAAAACATATCGGAAGAGACTGTAGGAACTTAATATGTTCAGTCTTGAGAAAAGAGGGAAAAGGGCAGACATGACTGAAACCTTTTGATTACATTGAGGGCAGCCATGAATTAAAGTGACACTAAACATTTTGAGGGACCATGGGGAACAAAGCCACACTCCAGAAGGAAGGACAGTGTCAACATGAATTCAGAGATAGTTTAAAGAACTCCAGTTGAGTGATACACGCATAAGATACATTTTGTGTAAAAGTTAAGGTACATGAATGCATTTTATGGATTTAACTCCTGAGTTTAGTGTCACTTTAAAACTAGCATGTGGAAAGTTTACAACTAACCTTCAAAAGGTATTATTTTACAAATAGAGTAGTTGCAACAGTCTTCCAGCATGGGTAGCAAGTCAGCCAAGTGAATTTATACATGTTTGTAAGAAACCTAGATCTATTCTCAGGCAAAAAATTCCAAAAAATAAATAAAAAAACTTGATGGATCACTTGGTCGTCTTCTACCACCACTCTGTTTTAATGTACCGGGGTGGCATTCAAAATGAATATCATTGCAACACACGAAAAGGAACTCTCTTTCCAATGCGCCGGCATTGCAGTGAACCTCAAGCATTACCATGTGTTGTGGTGCTCTTAGGCAGGGAAAATTATTGCATGTGTGTTATTGCAATGCATTTATGCAGCAGATCGCAAAGGTCTGAACGGAGCCTAAAATAGACACACTCAAATGGTCAGTATGTAGCCGCTTTTATTTTGTGGTTATATTAAGTTTTCATCATTGTGAAACATTATTGTATAAATCCTCCTGTCATTGTTAGTGAAGTTCCACTTTTGCAGTCAAAATTGAGAAAACCCCACTATATGTTTTGTGTTCCTATAAACACCACGTACCCAAAAATATATATATATTTTTTTTACATTCGTTTTTATTAGAAGTTTTTCAGGATACAAAAATCCGAATGATACAGTAATCAAGCAAAAGGGTCACATTGTCATAACAGATCACTATGATATTGGACAATTTTGAAAAAAAAAAGGCACAGGTTAATCTAGAAAGTTGTAATAAAACAACAACTGTATAAATAAACACTCGACTGATCAGACATGGGTCAGAGAATATATTCGAGTGCAGTGATAGTCCATCCGACCTGCGTTGTGAATATGACCAAAACAAAGTTCCAAGAAACAAAACCTAGAAATCATCACAATCAGATTGAGAAAACAAATAGGAGAGAAGAGAAAAAAAGGAGAGAAAGGGGGCAGCCAGGCCTTAGTGATAAGGCCGCAGTGAGTATATGCGTCATAAGTGTAAATTGTGCTCTATCTAATTCATCCAAAATTATTTTTTTAAGAATATATTTCTTACCTTTTTTAGATGTCTCTTTGGTGAAGGCGTTTGTGCAGATTCCAAGCTACTTTGAGGAGTTTGAAAGTGAGACTAACTTGTCTGACCAAGGGTCAGAATGAATTTCTGTCATTAACACACACTGCCTTCAAACCTTTAACCCTTTGTTAGGACACACAGTGTTCAAATCCAGTTTACAACTGATCATGAAATCTGCCAGCATAGTACAGACAGGGTTAATTAGAGTAAACATAATTTCGCACTACCCCCTCCTTAACATTATATAAGGGGGAAGCTAGGGAGGATTTTGAAGCATGTAATACTACCAAAAGGTAATTCATGTGAAATTCTAATGTGTTTATATTCTAATAATGTGTTTTTATATGTATTTTTGAAGCTTTTAGATTATGTTACAACAACGCTGCTCTTTTCCGACAAAAATGTTGATAGCAATTTGATTGCCTGGAACAGAGTTGTCCTTTTACATGGTAAATTTATTTTTTGTTTTATGGATGGATTATTTATGCACAACAGAAGTATTAATATACATGTTTAAAGCACAAATTCAGTCTTTTATTTTTCTCTCTTGGATAGAATGGACAAGCTGTTTTACCAGTTACATGTTTTTTATTGTGATCTGTGTCCCACTTAGGACATTTCTTCTCAACTTGTACCTTCTGTGTCACTGGACCAGGAATTGTTGGGAAATCTTCTTAGTGAGGACACAAACAGCAGTTAAAACTAACCCACGTCGCAAAATACAAAATGTTATTGCCGTTTCTGTGTCTGAGTTTTCGCCTTGCTCCCTGTTGTGGTGATAGTAGTGTAGGAAATGTCCCCAACAAGGACACAACATTATGGAACTATTTTAAACACTGTAGTGCTTCATATAAATAAAACAATCCGTTAATCACCTGTACCTACCACATTTGTGAAATAAATAAAATGACACATATAGGCAAACCTGAACAATAAATGTAAGCCAAAAAAAAGTCTGTTTCAACAAATTGTTATGACTTCTTTCATTCATTTTACTGTATATGTTACACACATGGACAAGTGTGAATAACAAAAATATGATTAAATTAAAAAGTCTTTTCAACAAATCTTTCAATATCTTCTTTCATTAATTCCATTCCATATGCATGCAACATGGCGAACACACTCACCATTTCATTTGCCCTACTTTTATGGAAAGGCACATGCACCTGTGTATACATCCTTGAGGCCACATATCCTTTTAATCTTAATACTTCGGGTCAGGGTTGTACTGTTAATTAAAGGTCTGTATGCAATTAGAAGTTTGCTCTCATGCATATACTACTCATCATATGTAACTCTCCACCATTCATATATCAGTAGAGTGAGGAGAAATCTTCTGAAAGATGTACACAAACAGTAATACACAATCTATTAGATTCTAGCCCTTCCACTCTATGCAAAAATACTTTTATTAATGGACAAATGTACTTTTAGTACAGTTGTCGTTTATGTAAACCCCATACCCTCCCTGACTGGAGCATGCCTGGATCTTTATTGTGCAGCCCTATAGGTGCTGCACAGCATTTGCATGTTTTGTTTTTGTTAGGTCTTGGAGGACCTAATAGACCCCCCCAATTTCTTAAATCTGCTGCAGAAGATGATCGGGGGCAGAAAGTCCCGAATCTCTTGCTCACCTGTATCCTAGTGATAGGACTGCAAACGCAGATGTGCTCAGGGCTAAAGTTCTATTGTTCAGTGAAGTAATAATTTTAGGGGTGAGGGAAAGGTTTAAGCTCCATAATTGCATGTTGTGAAAGTGATTGGATGGCTTTATAGCAGCCTAATACATTTTTGAAAACCAGGAGGGTGACTACTTTTGTTCGCCGTTTTCCCTGTGTGTGTTGTGAAGTAGCCACTGCTCCAGGCTCGCTCCCGTGATGGACTACAATCTCAACACGCATTACTAAACTAAAAGTGACATTGTAGTCTATCATGGGAGCGAACTTGGAGTGGTGGCTGCACACAGGAACTAATAGAGAACAAAAGTAGCCACCCTCTAGAAGAAAGGACAGTGTCAGCACAAATTTATTTTGTTTAGCGTCACTTAAAAGTTAATGAAAGCTGAAAATGTTTCTGCACTAAACAAAAAGGTAATTCCATGGTCAGTCCAGGTATAGGTCAGGATATGTGTTGAAGCATTTCACAATTGAAAGGAAAAAGATTTTGAATAAGATTTGTTTTTTTTTTTAAACTTTAGGACCACCTGGAACAGGAAAAACTTCATTGTGTAAAGCACTGTCACAAAAACTATCTATCAGACTGTCCTATAGGTAGTAACTTTTCTTTTTCTATAAAGATTTTCCATTGTTATGTTTATCGATTTTTAATATTCTTGTCTTTTTATATACTACTGCTTTTTTTGTATTGTAACGTCTAGATTTTTGGAAAACCCATTTGCAATTTGGGAGCACTATAACTAGCATATGTTCCTTTGGTTTGATCTACTTTATTTCACAAAGTGCTATTTAAGCTTGAACAACTTTTTAATTATAACTTATTTTTACATCCAAATGAATATGACTTGACAATTCACAGAACTATTCTTTGAATAATTGTTCTTAGTAATATGACCAAACGGCAAAAAAATAATTGTATACAAAAATATTATTTGGTCTTTCTTTGAAAAAATCTGTTTCCTAGTGATTACACAGAGTCCCTTTTATAAGAACCTTTTTTTTTCCTCAGGTACAGATATGGTCAACTCGTAGAGATTAACAGCCACAGCCTCTTCTCAAAGTGGTTTTCAGAGGTATTCATTACAAATAGTTATGTAGCCACTGTATTAACCTACTATGCAAACTTGATGGCACAAGGGAAAGGTCTCCCTTGATTCCAGAGCCTGAACAGTACGAATTAGAAAGGCCATTATTCTCTACAAATGAAGCTTAGTGGCTGAGGTGGGCCCCACTGGGTGTTCTTGTTGGGATCGCTAGCGCAATACGAAGCTGAGTTACATAGTGCTCAATAAGAGTGCTGTATATCACACTGCAATAGAATACCTAATAATAGATCGATATTTAAATGTTATCTGTTGCTGCAGATTTGTATGGAGGACGTGGAATCATATACGACTTAAAAATATAAATCGATAAAAAAGCCCCTCTCCTTCTTAATCCCCAGGTTCCAAAAAATAGTCTGGCTGCTCTCAAAGCATATTTGTGCAACATCATGTTTGTGAATGCAGACCTGTGAATAGTGGCAACTGCATACTAATTCCTGTCCATCCAACCCAACTCCTACTGTTACACTAACAAATTTAACAAACACCTTTTTTTTTTTTTTCTTGTGTGTGTGTGTGTTGCTATACAAGATCAAAAGAAGGAAAAACTATACCAAATGCCACCTGCAAAATGTATCAAGGTTCAAACACCTAATAACCTACAGCACGAGGTTCCAGCTGTTCAACCACTCAGCTAAATAGAACTCTTTCCTTAGGCCTCATCCACTCTTTGACCCACATTCGCGAAACGCCCTTGCTGTGCCATTACCAGTTAATTCCACCCAAATGCGTCTGAGCAAACGTGTGTTTTTTCCTTCCGTTTGCACGCACATGTTGCAGATTGTGCTACAGGCACTACTTTTCTGTATTTGTCTCGCGTTCAGGACCACGATTACATCAATGGGAACGGCGGAACATGACGCGCTCCCACTACGCTTAGGTGTGAATGGGGCCTTAGTGCAAAAGGAAAAGCAATACCTCTTTCTCCCCTTCCTTTGCATTTCCTCCTTTCTCCTACCTTTCTTCACTCTCATCTCTTCTCAGTTATGCTGCCCTTCATCCTCCACAACTTTCCCTTCTCTCTCTGTTATTTTTATCTTTCTGCCTACACGTCTCCTCTTCTCACCTTGTGCCAGCAACTGACATTTCTTTTATTATAAAATATATTATAAAAAGTTTATTGTACCGGTGTATCAAAACTTTAGTTGTTTGTTGTAGCCATGTATGCTGTTTTTCTTGAGTTAACATTTCTTAGATGATTAGATGTAATGGTGTTGTCCAATTTTTTTCAAGAAAAATATTCAGAAAACCAGAGGTACAAGTTGAACTCCTTGGTATAGTTTATACTTTGCATAGAAGAGTTCAAACTCTATTGCCCCTATGTTTAATATTTGGCTTAGTTTTGCATAATCTAAGAACCTAATACCTATTGGTAATTTTTTTTAAATTAAATTTCTATTTCTTTTTTATTTTAATTTTAAATTTCTTCCTACCTCTTTACAATCCTCAGAATATCCCCTTCTCTTTTTCTCCTGGCTTCCTTTATTAGATTTGAAACTTACTGTAATGCTTAGGGTAAAATGGGCGGTAAGCAAAAAAAAATGAAAGAAATGAATCAAGTTATTTTAAGCAAACACATATTCCACAAACCAGTTTGTTTTAAAATGAACCCCTTTTGTGGAAAAAAGATTAAGCATAGATATTGATCTGTTTTAGCATTCTTCGTCAAACTTTCGCTTTCATTTTAAAGTTACTGAAAAATAGCATCAGACAAGTGCTTTACTTTTATTTACAACTGTGTTTAACGTGGCTATTTTTTTCAGAGTGGCAAACTGGTAACGAAGATGTTTCAGAAGATTCATGAGCTGATAGTTGAAAAAGATGTTTTAGTATTTGTGTTGATTGATGAGGTATGTCACGTTAAATAATAATTAGTGCTGCAGAAGATGTTGGTGTTTTATATATATATACCGCCTGGCCAAAAAAAAAAAGGTCATACACTTTAATATTTAGTTGGACCGCCTTTAGCTTTGATTATAGCAAACATTCGCTGTGTCATCGTTTTGATAAGCTTGACAAGTTAGATCTTGTAGTGATGATGGGAGATTCGGACCACTGTGTAAAGTCTTCTCCACCACATTCCAAAGATTCTCAATGTGGTTAAGGCCTGGACTCTGTTGTGGCCAATCCATGTGTGAAAATGCAGCTCATGCTTCTTAAACCACTCTCACAATTTGAACCCAATGAGTTCTAGCATCATCATCTTGGAATACACCTATTCCATCAGAGAGGAAAAAATCCATTGATAGGAAAACCTGGTTATTCAGAATATTCAGGTAGGCAGCTGACTTCATTTTTTAGGCACATAATCTTTGCCAAACCTAGACTAATTATCAAATGGAAGGCTCTTGCCTATCTGCTTAGCTAAATCCAGGTGGTGACTTTTTTTTTTTTTTTTTTTAACCAGGCAGTGTAAATAACTTAGAATAGAACCTGTAATGTCTAGGCAAAAGGTTGGAGACAAGGGGAGGTGGAGCAGAATGGAGGGAAAGTGAGTGAAGACATACACATAGCGGGACAAACAACAGACCATGGACCACAGAAGGGTAGGAAACAGGACAGTGAGGTTAAAGAGGAAGGAAAAGGTTGGATTACCCTGCCCACACATGGACTGCAATAGGCGGCCCTGGACTAAGCGGTGGGGGACTGCGGCCAGTCAGTCCGGGGAGGCACCGACATTTCTCGGGAATAAGTGTCCGAGTACCGGAAAGCTATCCACGGGCTCCAAGTGGACCTGAATCTCCCCTCCAAACCTTTTTTTTTACACCCTGTAATGTCATCATTGGGTCTCAAAATCTCTCTGCAGTGCCGGCAGATCATGGTTTGTCAGAGTGGCTGTACATCACTTCCTGAAAACAGCAGGCCACTCTAGGTAATGGGCAGATGTGATGCAGAGCCTCTTTGAATGAAAGAATAGAAATCTAGTTATTGAACGGTCCAGGGGAAGTTCCACTGGGGAGTAGTGTGAGATGGTGCTGGATATCCTCCAGCGAGGAAATGAGGCCGGCTCTGACCTGCTGCAGCTTCAGATGCAAACTGTGAGTAGCTAACAGTGTGCAATTAAATCAGAATAAGTACTTATAGTATAGGAGAGAGTCCTGTAAAACAGTGCAATACTGCAGGTAAGGCTGGAGTTCAGCTTTAAGAAAACCTAAATACTTTAACTACTTCAACTCAGGCACCTGTATGCCCCTTATAGACCAAAGCAGCTTTACATTTCTGCTATGGGCCTATTGATTTGGCGATAACTCCATCATTACTTGAGGTAACACATATTTCAATATTTTCAAGACAAACTAAGCTTTTTTTTTTCTGTCTTGCAATCTATAGACCTAAACAACACAGTTTTAAAACAACTATTATTACTAAAGAGTATGTAGTTTATTATTTTAATGGCACACGATTTATGATCATTACACAGTTAAAGAAATAAAGCCGTTTTCATACTTCCTGTGTTCTTTTGCAGAGATTTCACTTCTGAACAGGAAATGAGTAGAAAACAAGAGCTATGGCAGGAAGGAATATTATAGGGCTTACTGGGATTTAATGAGGGTAGATAGAAAAGTACAGGGCATGTGCCCACAGTGCTTTTAGGTGTACAGTGAATTCCCCCCCCCCCCCCAAAAAACCCAGCAAAGCCCTCAGCTGGTTAATGTCCATAGTCTGGGCACAGGTGCAATTTAAAATTCGATACCTGCCTTGCTTTTCTTCTTAGTGAGATGACAAGGAAATTAGGATAGGATACCCAAGTTATTTTCCAGCAGTCTTTAAACTCAGAACAAGTATGTACCCTTAATATCTTTTTATGTTTTAGCAGCTGGCCATCGTGGTGACAGGCATCTTCGTAGCAATGCATTACTTGGGGATTCCTGGAAAAGAATTTACCCATTGACCTGACCTTAGACATTAAAACCTTGAACATTTACAATATTATTGTACTACAAAATATCCAAGATTTGTTTATACCCTGCTTGTGTTAATTACATCACTAATCTGTTATTTCACTTCAGGTTGAAAGCCTTACAGCTGCACGTAGTGCTTCTAGGGCAGGCACTGAACCCTCTGATGCCATTCGTGTAGTAAATGCTGTTCTGACTCAAATAGATCATATCAAAAGGTATTTGTAGCTGTTTTAAATCTGTTTTTAAAGTTTTTACATTAACTCTGACGTCATACATGAATGTTAATGAACTACGGTGCATGGATGCATGGCTGCCACATTCCAAATCATTATCAAGGACGAAAGAAGAAAAATTTAAATCGGCCTTAACCTCTTGCCGTCCGCCCGTAGTAAAAAAACGGACGGACGGCACTGCACTGGAGTCAGATATGAACAGTGAATAAAAATATAATACCTTTATTTTAGATCATAAAACAATGATGGTTCAAGATTAAAAAGACATGCATAAAATAAATCCAATAGCCCAAACTTTTCACAATCCATAGAAGCATATAAACCTTATTATTCTCTTCAGCCTTATTGAGGGCTTCATTCCATTTTAGGTACATATGATTTCATTCCATAGGATTAGGTGAGAAGTATATTTGTCTTGTATACACTGGACGCGTTTTACTGTAAACCGCTTCCTCAGGAGTGGGCTAAGGACCAATAACAGACCATCCAGATGGACCCTGGGCGTGGACCTGTCGTGAACTGGGAGGAACCAACACAGGTTGGGACACTTGACCAAATCAAGTTAGCATATCCATGATATCTCTAAAATCATCCACAAAGCGCCAAAGTTGATCATCAAAGGGGTGACTGTAGTCGTGTAAAATCTTTGATCCCCCTTAGTGGTCTTTCAGACTAATTTTATTTTTTATAACTCTGACAATCGGAAAAGATATTGTTTTGTTGACAAATGGGTTTAATAGCATTCATGAACTTGCGTTTACATTTTTCATCCGGGTTTTGGCTTTTATGTAGAAGGTATGTGGGAGGCCAATCACTTCTATATGGCTCTGCTCTGACCACTTCTGAGTTTAGAGCCATCCGATTCCTGCCACTGTGGCCAGGTTTGAAGCGGATCTTGGCCATGATCTGCACAAACTGAGTGCAGAGGAGTCAATGATGGTCCAATAGACTCCTCATCGATTCAAAAAATCTGCCTGTAATTATCACCCTAGGGTTTTTGTCAGTCCTCTTGTAATAGCAATAAAGTTAAGTGGAAAAAAAAACATTAAAAAGTTCTTAAACAATTCAAATCAATGTCAACAAACAAACAACATGTCATAAGTCCTACCTATGAATGCCGGGCTCATGACTGTGTATGTAATAAGGGATTATCCACTAAAGGTATCAGCGCTGGCGGATCGGAGCGGGGAGAATCCAGCCCCTCCCCTGTCACGGCACAGAGCCGTGACAGGATCGAGAGGTGAGCGAACGCCGGTATGTGTTCGCTCACCTCCCGATCTACTGAGCCGACCTGTGACAGTCTCATTGTAGAACTATGAGGTGAGTGAAAAGCACTCGCCTCATAGTTCTCCTTTTAAGACTATAAGTTGAATATATCAAAGGTTTGTGAAATTCATCTTTTTTGTTTTTCATTATACAATTGATTAGAATAATCCTACATGTAAAAGATAGCTAAAAACAGTATGTATACAGAAGTGCTAAACGGATGTAGTATATAAACTCAAAGTTTTAGATGGGGATGCACCCATACCATTTTTTTCCAGACTGAGTACGAGTACCAATGCTTTTCCTCAAGTACTTGCCGATACCAATTACTGATACTTTTTTTTTTTCTCTTTAGACTTTTTGTGACTGGTTTGCTAAAACAATACAGACTAATGATTTTAGGACAGTGGTGAAGTGCAAAGGCACGGTCACACCTGCAAACGCTGGGACCCTGGTAGTTCTGCCACTGGCTCCAAGCTGTAGAAGGACCACAAATCTCAACAATACATTATACAACAATGCAAAATACCAGCACCTATAGAGGACTACAAATCCCAGTGATAGTATTATTCTGCATTGCTGTATAATGTATCAACTAGAGGGGGCTACAAATCCCAGTGATGCATTATACAGCAATGGCAACCGGCTATAGAGGACTACAAATCCCAGCAATACAGAATATGACTCTCGGGTGGCTGTGCAGGTTCTATAGTAGGCTGTGCGGGCTCTCAGGTGGGCTGTGTAGATTCTTAGGTGGCTGTGCAGGTTCTATGGTGGGCTGTGCAGACTTTCAAGCGGCTGCGCAGATTCTTTGGTGGGCTGCTCAGACTCTCGGGTGGCTATGCGTAGTGAATTTCTAAAATAGAATGAAATTCTCAACTGAGAGAGCGTCACAGAAGCATGTGTCCGCATTGGAGGATTACCTCTTGCTCTGACATCTCTCAAGTTTTGAATTTGTTCTTCCTTTCTATCTCGATGACATTGGTCACCAGGACCAACAAAGGGTTTAATCTTCCCAGCAGTAACATAGAGAGTAATAAATACCTGACGGGGATCTAATTGTTCCACACTAACAAAACAAATAAAAAATTACTTTACATATATTAAAAATATTAGGGTGTTGCGATAGTGCAAGTAGATGGTAAAGGCTTCGGTTATGTTTGAGTGAAACCTAAGGGCCCGTTCACACTGTGCAGAGACTAGCCTTTTCCTGCACTTAATCAGTGCCAGTTACTGCAAGGACACACTGAAAACATTGTTCTCTATGTGCCATGTTCACACTGAAACTTTGCCTTTAGATGGGTTGCAGTGCAGAACAGAAAAATGCAGACATGCTGCTTTTTTCTGCAACACACCAGAGCTCACCTGACATCACCACAAGTTAGTTTCCCCAGGACATTGGCATTAATGAAAAACTGATTGTTTTAGTGCATGGCTAGTGAGAAAGAGGCCCTTCGTTTGTGATGTAATTACCTTTTTCTGTATTAATTTCAGTAGCTTGGGGATAAGTTTTGTGAGCGCCACGAACTGAAAGGATGATCAAAGTTTACCATTGTCTACCAAACAGTCAAAGCCAAGATATGCTTAAATTCCTTTTAGACTGATTTGCATGCATTTCCTACTATGAATGCCTTGTTTAGCTGTATTTTTGAAGAGTAGATAAATTGAACGTTTTCTCACTGGGGTTCTGTTTGGCAGCCTTCTATATTAGCAGTTTAGAACAGTTCTTGAAGGATATGTATAGCCGAACCTTTTTCTTTTTTGGCTAAAGTTGGGAAGGGCTTGAACCCCAATCAGGTGTCCCCGCTAGGTCGATTTTACCCTCTTTGTCCTGGTTACCAATGTCCTTAAAAGAGAACAATGGCCTAACGTTTTTTGTCCTTAGTTCTCTTTAGAGAACTATCATATGCTAATGTCCTCCAGTGACCCAAAAATCAGTATATAACAGGCTACTGCCCGCTATATGCTGAGAGCACAGAGCCTGGCCGAAGCTGGGACGGATCCCAACAATACTGTCGAGATTCACCCTGCTGGCTGATTGATAGCTGGCTCTACCTCTCTAGGGTCAGCTCTGGAGAAACGGAGAGGGGGGGAATCCTGACAGTCACCGCTCTTTACAGGGAGAGGATAGGGAAGTCAGCGATCGGCGGTATGTGTTCGCTAACTTCAAGATCAATAGAGGCAACCTGTGACAACTTCAGTGTCACAGATCGCTTGAATTATGAGGATGAGTGTTTTTCACTCACCCCCTTAATTCTCCTTTTAAGACCAAAAGTGTTGAAAAATCCTAAATTGTACAGAAAAAGAGGTTGGATGAATATTTTTTAAAAGGGAGGGGAATTCTCACTTTGTAGAGATTTACTCTCCCTTTATGTCGTGTCAGGGTTATGAAACACGGCAAAAAATAACTTGTCAGGGGTTTTCATCTTTCCCTTCTCTATCCAAAACCAAATTGAAAGTTTTGACTATACATTAACTTTATCAGTTTGAAATTGATGGCTTGGTTTTCTTATTTAACCTGATGTTAATGTTACTACTGTATATATCTGGTGTCTAGCTAATGGTTATTATTGATTTTTCTTTTGAAGGTACCCCAATGTAGTCATCTTGACAACTTCAAACATAACTGAGAAAATTGACATGGCTTTTGTTGACCGAGCAGATATAAAGCAGTACATTGGACCGCCATCACAAGCTGGTATTTTCAATATTTATGTGTCCTGTATAGAGGAATTAATGAAGGTTAGGATCTCTGTTATTTCTGATTTTTATCTCACTAAAATTTGAACATAACTTGAAATATAATACACCGTACTGAAATGTTCCTTTTTTCTTTTTCAATTAGTGTCAGGTAATCTATCCCAGACAGCAACTTCTTACTCTAAGAGATCTGGAGATGATTGGCTATCTGGAAAATAACGTTTCCAAACTTAGTTTGTTATTGAATGATATTTCCCGGTAGGTTTTACTGACTCGCTATAGGTTTACATCAATAATGTATTAATAGTATGTGTGGGTTTTATGTAAAGGCTCAGTTCACTTGGCTATATTGATTATTTACCATAATGACCATTATTTTCAGCAGTCAGCGCCAAAGAGACCTAAATAGAACAGTTACAAGGGCAAAAGTAACAATCATTAAGGCAAATAATGCATGCTTTATGGCCTAGTGTATTAAACATATAGTGAGGTATTTTTAGATGTTTAAAGAAATCATGATTGCAGGTAAATATTTTTGATCATTATTAAACCTACATAATACCTTGTTCATTAGAAATGTCAACTCCGTGCTGCAGTAATCCTATGTTTACTGACTGCTCAAATATGACAGTAAAGGTGGTTGACGCAATTTATCTCGCATGATCAGCAATGTTTTAAGATTTGGGGTAACGACTTTATAGTTAAAACGAAACTCCAGGATTTTTTCAAATTAAGCCTTGCAGTGGGGCTACCCCCGCACTACAAGGGTTAAGTTATCGTTTTGGTCTGACTCTTGATAGAGACCACTGCTTACACAGAGTAAGGGTCCTTTTCTACAGTACAGTGGCAGGGGACAGTTTTTTCTGAAGAAAACAACCTGTAAGAATTAAAACACCCTTTGTTTTGATGCACCTGGAATGTGTTTAGCTGAATTAAACTAAAGGTTTAATTGGGTTTTAAGCATATGAATGCTTGAAAGCATATTTGAGATGGCTTCTTCCCACCATTGCTCCTACCGCCATTGCTCCTCTCCAAGAGATGCGTGAGTTTCACTCCGATTTGGTCCTTGCTACTGCCTACAGTGACCTGGTCGCCTCCGGCCCATTAAGCCCATCCTGCTTACGCAGCTGGATGTGAGTAAACCAAGGTGCCTATGACCAATGACCCAGTCACAGTCCTAAATGATCATTTAATTACGGAGCACTGGGAGCTTTTCCTCTCAGCTCTTCATTACTGTGTGAGCGGTTCAGCTGATTTTAACCATCTCGTCTCCTGAATGAGTCTTCTGTAAGTGAACATTCAAGGAGCCCTCTGGCTGAAGTGTTGGTCTGACAAACAGAAATGCATAAAACTCTAGCTTTGCATGCCCTTTCACTTCACATGTCTTTTTGAGGCTTTGCTGGATTTTAGTAAGGAAGTTGCTGCAGGTAAAGTACTTATTTACTGGGGGCGTGGCCAAGCGGCGTGCATGGACGGACGCTGATCACAGCAGCTCCGGTCCCACTCTCATCCTTACCCTATCCTGACGGTTCCAGCGACTCGGTCGGCACCCGGGCTCCTTCCGCTCTCCCTCAGGATCCTCCTGGCAGCTGCGATGGGGAAAATCGGGGACCAAAGGGATGCTCAGCGGCCGAAAAATTGGCCCGGTTCCAGATGCAAGATGGCGCCGGACATGCGGCCCTCCGCACCTCCTAGGGCTCCACGATGAGGACGGGGACTCCTCAATCCTCTAGTAAGGGGGCTTCCCAGGGGAAATCTGCTCCACTGTCCCAGCTGGGCATGAAGGGGAAAGCTGCACAATCCCCCCAGGCTGAACACACAAAAGGCCAACCTGTACAACGTGCTGGCAGGGCCTCTGAGGAGAGGGGGATGGGGGAGACGTTCCCTGCAGACACACAGGCCCCTGCTGAGCCCACCCTCCTACAATTAATGGAGGCTATTCGGGACTGCAAAACCTCCCTGGCATCACAGATTGAGGGGGTACATATAGACCTCTCTCTGCTGAAGCATGATGTTCAGGGTCTGCGTGACAGGGTCACCGAAACTGAGGGCCGCATTACTATCCTGGAAGATGCGATGACCCCGTTGTCCAGGGATACTGCTGGATTACAGAGGGAGCTAGCGGCCTGCAGAGCTAAAATGGATGACCTGGAGAATCGCTCCAGGCGGAATAACCTCCGCTTTGTTGGATTTCCTGAGCGGTCAGAGGGCCAAAATCCTGAGCAATTTATTCAAGATTGGCTTAGAGAGATGTTAAAGCACTCCCCATTTATAAACTAACATACGAGCAGAGAGGTAACCCGACACGCTTTGGCCGCATATGGGACCCATGGCTGGCCTCCTCAAACACAAATTTGGAAACGGGGTAGTACTGCTAACTTTTGGCCCTGAGTCCCCCAGTCCTGGACCTATGAGTCCTAGGTGATACTCTTGGGGTCGGCTGATATATGTGGCTGAGTTGGTTTCTCAATGTTCTGTGATACCTATCTTAGAGCTTTATCACCATGTCTTGAACCTTGAATATTGCATCCACAGCTTGTGTAACCTTGTAACCTCATGACAAACATAGAGAGTGCACTGATGTGTAAATGCCTGGGTTATGTTGACCCAATTGTTGTTTGTGATGGTGTTGTTGTTATCATTGTTGTGTCTCTGACACTTGCAAAAATCAATAAAAATTATCTTTAAAAAAAAAAAAAAAAGTACTTTTTTACCACAGAAGAAGAAGCCTAAGCTTTAAACTGGTAAATCTTCTACTGCTTATGATAGTTTTATGTAAGGGGCCCAGCACCATTGCCCACTGCAGTGTCCAGTTGCAATCTTACATTTAGATTACTAATTTAAATGGAGATTGTAGTCCATCACGGGAGCCAGCTTGGAGTAGTGGCTACTTTACAACACACACAAAGGGACCATGAGGAACATAAGAAGCCACCCTCCAGAAGGAAGCACAGTGTTGGCACAAGTTCAAATTGATTTTGAGGATTTACAGCTGAGTAATGCACAAATAAGGTCCAATACTGTTAATAGTTAACATGCAATGCATTTTTACGATTTAACTCCTGAGTTTAGTGCTGCATATTTTTTTGCTGATGGTTCCATTTTAGAAAAACACTTTTATGTAAACCTGCCATGCCACTAGCTTGCATAACTCAAATTAAAAGTCAGGGTTGGCCCGAACTCCTAAACCACCCTGTCAGTTTTTTTTTTAATGTGATGGATACAAACAGGCACGTAGTGGAGGGGGGTGGAGTCGTTTATGTATCTAGATCTCCTGTTGCTTTTGACATGTTGTTTTCCCCAAGCATAACCTTTTGTGCATGCATATTTTGGGCACATGGTAAATATAAGATTTATTATCAATTATATTAACCCATAAATATTTACAACCATTTTTATATTTCAGAAAAAGTGAAGGACTAAGTGGCAGAGTTCTGAGAAAAATTCCCTTTCTGGCACATGCACTTTTCATTCAAGTAAGTAGTAACCATAATGAAGGGAGTTTATCAACCAATGATACCAGCAGCATCTGGTGCCCATTTAGTGCAAATCAGGTTGTTTCTCATTTAGCTAATTTAGGATTTTAAACCGCTTTTGTTTCACTTCCCCATTCCTGCAATCTTGAACAGCCAGCTACAACAGCTTTGTAGTCATCTGTGGCAGATTACACATGATGCTTGAAACCGTTTTCTATGTAAAACGCATAAGATGCTAAAAAGGGGCCAAGGGCATGTTTTATATTTGTGCATTTCTATTTCTCAGCAGCCAAGGGAGGATTTGTCAATGGTATTATCTACACGATTTTTCATTGCTAATATTTTGCACTTCCTTGCTCTGTGAAATAGTTTTTAAATCTGCCCCATTAGGTTGTATATTTTGCTTTCAATTCATAAACCCTGTTTTCTGTATTTCGAATTTTGCAAGCAAATTTGAGAAACCCTTAATATATCTTTGTGTTTCCATTCACACAGCATACCTTAAATACAAATATTTACAAGTATTTTTTTAACTTTTTTAGTTGTTTCTTTGGAGCAGCATTATACGCAGAACTGCAAGCTATTCTGAGCAATTTCAGAGTACACACACGAGTTTCCCCTCACTCATTTAAAAACCCAGAGATAATATTTTTTTTTTCTAATATAATAATATTTATTGAAGTACAATAAACAATACAATAGGTAACATACATGTACACATATAAATAATCATGCAAACATGGGAAAGAATGCTTGACCTGAATCTAACAAGCTCAATATCTTACAATATCAATATCTTACAAACCGTTAGTTCTCTTCCTGATAAGAAAATCGTTATCAATGGAAAAACAATGTGCCATATACGATGCTCACACCAGTTTTCCACATTTCTATTAGGCCCCTTTCACACGGTTCAATCAGGAGGGGATCCATGCAATTGTTCCCTGCTAAACGGAATGGGTGTCACCGTTGTGCGTGCCTCTGTCCAGTTTTCTAAACTAAAATTACCCATGTCGGTCTATGGGGAATCAGATGCAAACAGACGTCCACATCAGATTGCCTACAATCCGGCACGATCAGGTTCGTGCCAGATTAGAGGTTAGCCCACCAGAGTCGGGGGTAACCAGATGCAAATGGACGCCCATCCACCCAATACCCTGACGTCTTTAACCCTTTTTTAGGACTGTGTTGAAAACTAACTTAGAACTGATAATCAGAAATGCCAGCATAGAACAGACAGAGTTTATTACTCCCCAACCCCCAATTTAACCTTACAGGTAGGATTTTTAAGTAAGTAAAAAGTATTTATAATGGTAAGCAGCAATTCAAATTTTTTCATATGCTATGTGAATGGTAACCTGTAACAACTATACATTAAGTGTTATTCCAGTTTAGCTTCAGATATGGAAAGCTGAAGTTTAATCTGATTACAATGTTGCCTTTACTACCCCCTCCCCTATCAACATGCTAATGACATTTTTAACCACCTCCCGTCCATGGCCGTTTGTGAGCGGCTGGACGGGAGTCTGCTAGGAGCGGGAGGGCATCTTAAGACGTCCTGCCCCTCCCCCCAGGAAAACTGGGGGGTGGGGCAGGTGGGCTCCTGTGAGCCCACCTCGGGCTCACAGGAAAACTGTGAGCCCGAGGTGGCTGTTTACACATACAAGCGATCAGGCGTCCCTAAAGACGCCCGATCGCTTGCAGGGTGTGCGCCCCCCCGTACCTCTGTCCTGTGGCCGGTGCGGCTGGGACTGGCACGGCGACGATCTAACAGCAGATCGAAGGGAGATCATTACTTGATCTCCCTTTTTGATCTCTTTTCCTGTCCCCAAAAAGCAGGAAGTGATGTATATTACATCACTTCCTGCATTCAGTGTCACTATCCGGTGCGGACGCGAACGTCGGAGTGAGAGCAATAATTTTAGGGCCATCAATCACTGATGACACTAAACTGATGAGCGGTAAAAACGTTTAAAGTGTCGCCTATGGTCAATTTTGGTTGCGGTAGTTTTCTGCGATTTCGCGGGCGCGCGCAATTTTAAAGCTTGACATGTTTGTCTATTTACCGGACATGACACCGTCTTTTATATTTTACCAAAAAATTGGGGTGATAATAAACGTTTCATAACATTTTATAGGGAAACATGTTTGGTTTTTTTTTTCAAAATTTAGGGTACTTTTTTTGTTAGTGAAAAATAAAAACCCCAGTGGTGATTAAATACCACCAAAAGAAAGCTCTATGTGTCACCAAAAAATGGTATGAAATTCGTTTCAGTACAGCTTTGCATGACGGAATAAATGTCAGTCAAAGTACTGCAATGCTGAAAACTGGCCTGGCCAGGAAGGGGGTGAAACACCGTGGTCTTCAAGTGGTTACATAAAACTTTTTAGGTTTTTATTGCATACCTTATTTTACACCACGTTGATGTCGTCACCCGGTCTCTCTGGTTCTCTATGTACTACAGGCAGATCATAGCTGGTGGGAGGGGCCAGCAGGGTGCTAAGCAAAGCTTACAGCTTTAGTAGTCTTCCCAAGAACCCTTAGCTCTGATGTTGCTAGCTCTTGGGAAACCAGACAGTCTGCATTTGCTTGCAAATTGCGCATAGGTAATGGCTACGTATGACGGTGAGCCTCCACGAAGTAAAGAACCGAAATTCAATAAACAAACAGGGTGGATCAGAGGCAGTCAGGCTTTGAAGGAAAACGATGGATGATGCTGGATGTCCTCCAGCCAGGAAATGAAGCGGACCCTATCTGACTTACTGCAGCTTATTATGCACACTTTGAGAAACTCAGAGTGCATTGAAGTCAGTGTGTGCAATTTTAGTATAGGAGAAAAGCCTGCAAGGCTAAAGTTAAGAGGAAGTCAGCTTTTAACTCGTTAGCCCAACCAGGTAGCCTGATATTCTTGAATAAATTAAGCTAGAACAAGCAGTTATACAGGCCAAGCTCATGAAAATTTAGTCTAGTTATATAATTTGATCAGTTGAATTGAACATTTTTTTTGAGTCCATAGCTCCTGCAATCACGCAATGCATGCAATTATGAGGAAGGATAGTTGCATTACAAGGAATCACTGAAAGAGGACTTTAGTTAAAATTTTAATAACTAAATGGTATTTCTTATTTTAAGCTTAATGGCAGTGGTTTCTGAGTAGCATTAAAAAGAGAATGTCCCTTTTAATAAACAACTTCAGACAGCATTGCTTAGTCTAAAATGGCTATGTCATAACTGTATTGATTGTAATTTTAGTTTCAACGTGGGGAAGGTTGTTTTTTCTGCTAGGCCTTTTTTTTTTCTTTCATTATTCACATGATAAAATGCACATTATAACATTGAAAGCTCATAAGTGATCCCTAAAACCTTTCTCATACCCGAGGGCCAGAAATAGTATTGGTTGTGTACAAGCTTTGATTCCTACAAAGAAAAACTGGCCTGTAACAATAAAATATCTTCACAGAGGTAGTAGTGTGTTATAACCCTTTCCCTGCCAACGATGTAAGGTACACGTTGGAACAAACCCGTTTCCAGCTGGCCAGTGTCCTCAATCTGTTTTCTATTTCAAGGGTCAAGCTAAAAGAAAAGTAATAAATAATTAGGATTTTATTAGTTAAATAACTGATAAAATGATTTTAGGGTATTTTTACTGAAAATATAGATTTGATATACATTTGCGCATTTGTCGTGGGACCTACAAAATTAGTAGCACCATCCTTTTTATTTTACTGGTTCTGTACTTTCAGAAAATGTATGGTTTGGGGAGTCTTTTATAAACTCTAAAAACTGCAGTTGAAAAGTAAAAAATTGCAAAATTGGTCTGGCCAGCTGAGGTCAAAAGTGTTGGACAGGGCTTGGCAGCAAAAGGGTTAAACCTTTTTTTGCCCTTGTATAGTAATTACATTGGTAGCAGAAAAAGAGGGTTTAGGTTTTGTTTTTATTTTTTTGTAGAATCTGGAGTTGTAGTGGTAAAATGTTCAATGTTCTGCACTTGAGTTTCCAGTTTTCTGTTTGAGAAGCTCCATGCATGCTTTTTGATTTTTAATTTTGTACATTGGAAAAAGTGGGTAGTAACTCCCAATACATCAAGATGGATGGAACGGAGCTATGAAATAGATATTTAATGTAATTTTCGCTGTGCTCTTTAAAAAGGAAGAGTTACTTTTTTTTAGTGACCATAGATGGGAAGAAATTACATTGTTTTATTCCTACTTGTAAGAGTTTGCTGTATTTTTGAAGTTAGGCCCTGCATGCCTCATGAGTCCATAGCAGCATTAGGAGTGGCTGGTACTTTGGTTCAATGAATTGCTGGAAACAAAGAGGGAACTATAGAGAGGGGAAATTACAGAATTTGAGGTACACATCTCTTTTTCTCATCTTATCTATTCCCCGTAAAGAAATGGTCACATATTAATGTCTCTCAGTGTATGTGCCATGACAAAATTGGGAACGTTGTAAACCTTACAACTATACTGAAGACTCCCTAAAGAGATGCAATACCATCTTGTAGTAATCAATCACATTGTGTGATTATGCCAGACTGACTGCTACTTCATGCTACTTGTATAGCCTGCTTCACAGGTAGCCATTTGTTTAGTGATCACTTGCTACACCGAGCAAATAACTAACTGGCAGTAGTGGTAGCAGGGTTGAGCCATTAAAAATCTTTTGTGTAGCTCTAGCCTATTCAGGTAATTGCAGATGGTTAAATCTTCGTAGCAAGAGATTATAATCACTAGTGTAGCCATACCCTAATGGAGGTGAGTAGTTCCTGCTCTTCCACACGCATCTTCTCTGTGGCACTATGTTTACAATAAAATATCATATTTTCATGTTGTTCTAATGCAAGACAAGTGCTGAGTAAGCTCAAATTAAAAGTGCTCACCTTGTGAGAGTGGATTGGACCCAGCAAATAGTGCACTGCAGTTAAGATGACTTGAACTCCAGGATGTTTTCCTTTTTAAAAATCCTTGCACTACAAGGTTTAAGTGCTCGTTTGTGTCTAGGTTAAAAAAAAAGTTACACTCTCCCAAAGCTCCAAGTCGGCTTCTTCTTAGACCGGTCCTTCTTGCGTCTCTCCCCCTTCTCTGCAGCAGTCGAAGGTCCTATGAATAATCAATGCCCATACACGGGATATGTGCTGCGTAGGAGGAGACAGGCTGCAGGGAGCGCTGTGACTGCTGGCTGGCTCAGAGCTTCGGGTGAGTATATCTTTGATATTTTTGTCCCTAGACACAAATGAGCACTGAACCCTTGCAGTGCAGGGATAGCCCCACTGCAAGGGTTAATAAGTTTTCCTGGAGAGCTTCTTTTAATCATTTAAAGTTCCAGTGCTGTAGCACTTGCCAGTGGATCCCTTTATTACATTCCTGGGACTGGTGGTGTAGGCTGCAATCAAGTTGTTCACTCCTCAGCACCTCAGCCTCCAATGTGAGGTAAATCCACTCTATTTAGGGTTATAATGCGTTTTAAGATGACACTCCATCTTAATTTTTCAGGTGAATACACAACTATATAGAAAGAGATATCTGTAATACCCAGTTTTAGAAAGTAGGAAAGAAGTGCCTCTGCGGCAAGAAGGTCACTCCTGAGAGTTTAACAGTTAACACTTGTTTTGCACACCAAGTCAAAATGTGCAAACTTTTACATGAAACATATATGGGTGCTATAAATCATAATGGGTCCTATCCCTTAGACCCCAAATCCTGTATGTATGATTGTAGGTACAAGCACACCAAACCGCAAAATATATGCTGCAGCAAATTACTCTGATAAGTAAATCATAAATGTCCACACATAGGATACTGTACGACATCATAGGTCACCATATAAAATATGCATTACACAGCATAACAACACAGAGGCAAACAAAGCATAATGCCAACAGTGAGTTACAATACACAAAGTTGATCAAACTTTATAGTACATACAAATAAACAATTTCTTTACAATAGGGCTGCAACTAACTAATCGATTATGTGAATAGTTGTCAACTATTCGCATTATCAATTAGTTGGTTGGATCCCCTAGCTCTCTCCACCATGCTGGAAGGAGGGCACAGCAAGCAGTGGGCGGTGCAATAGCTATTGGCTATTGCAATTTACAAATAGCAATAGCAGGCTGGCTATTGCACCAGCCCACTACCTTCTGTATTTACATTCAGCTGCCATCTGCGGAATCTTGCCACTGGCAGCTGTCATTCCCTGGCTGAAGCTGTTTAAGTGCCTTATGCCTACAATACAATTATTTTAAAAAATTATAAAAGGTGGGGGAAAAATATATATATATTGTATCTAATGAAGTATTAATTTTGTTAAATGTAACAACTAGGATGTTTCCCAAGAGGCTATGGGGTATGTAAAAGAACAATCCTTTGGCAGATGTTACAGCACCAGCAAGTTTTTGTGATTAATCGATCTCTGCTGCAGGGCATTGTATGGTGTGTCTCAGCCACTTTTAAAGTGAAATTAAAGTCGAATTGTTTTTAAAGTATTTCAAATGCTGAATACACCACTTACAATACTTTCTGCTCTTTAATGTTTAAAAGTTTGTTTCCTGCAGAATCAGCTGGTCCTCTGAGCACTGGTCATGATATCCTGTTTTAGGATGGCTCATTTATTTCCCTTTCAGGGTTCAATGGACCCACCCGTGTGTGTGTCCGTGTCCGTCCACAGGCACAGCATGTCAATCCCCTGTCCTCCCTCCTCCTTTCTCCCTTCTCCATGCTAGTAGATTTGCAGTTGCAGACTGTACTCCCCCTTGTTATCTTGTACTGAACAGGAAGTTCAGGGAAGCCGAGCTGAGAATGTTGGAAACAGCTGTTTGAAAACAGGATGTCTGTAAATATTTGGGTAAAAGTTTAAAGAATTAATTTGCAGGGCAGTGTATATTTGGTTGATGTGGAATCATTAAAAAAAATGAGTTTAATACTACTTTAAGAGTTAGCACTTTCAATTTACTCAACACATGTTTGGTTGCTGTGGGTACATAAGATGTGTTCTCCTTTTTTTTTTTGCACTATAGATGCATTGTTTACTCATTGAGGACTTGGGGTGGGGGTTTGGCGGATGATGAATGCCCTGTCCACCCATGTGGAAGCTCCCCTGTATCATACAGGGTATGTTTTGAAGAATGGAATACTGTAATTTGTTTTAGTTCCCATGAATGTTTAAAAAAAAATGAATATATACTTTTTTTTTTTTCTTTAATTAAAGGACTCCAGGATACTCAAATGTTTGGGGAAATGTTTGAGATTTTAGGGCTGCACTGCAAAGGTTAACTGCTCGTTTTGGTTTATGGGCAAAAATAAAGAAGAAATACTTGCCTGATCCTCGGCCCTGCGGCAATGACTGCTCACATCTCCCCCTTGTTACTCCAGCTGTGGTAATGGGTCTGTCGGAGCCCAGGTAGCGAAGAGGCTGCAGGGACCGGTCTAGCAGCCAGGCGGGACTGTATTTCTACTTTATTTTCATTCCCTAGAGAAAATCAGCACCACTGCAAGGGTTAACTTTTCATAATCCTGGAGTCCCGCTCCATCAGAATCCTACATTAATTGAAACAGGTTTTTTTGATGCAAAAAAACAGCAACTTATTTTCACTTAATTTGTTTTAAGTCTCCTACAGTTACACTTGAAAAATTCCTTCAAGCTCTGTCACTTGCAGTGGAGCGACAATTTGAAGAAAGAAAAACGCTCAAGGAAAGCACTTAAAACATTTTTTTAATATAATGGTCATCTTCTTTTCTGTTTTATATTGTAAAAATGCTGTTTGAAATGTTTGAATGTATTTGAAATATATGTGAATTTGTGTACCAATATATGATTTGTCTCTGATTGCTGCCTTTTGTGAAGGAAAAGTGAACTTATCCTTTATGTAAACTGCATTGGGGGATTGTAAGGATGATGTAACAAAAAGCCTTTTGAACTGGTGATATTTTTCAGGTAAATTATCATCTTAGTGGAACTTTTCTTTCTTAGCAGATTTTCTGTGTTTTGAATGAGTATGGAAGAGTTAGAAATTGTCAAATTTGTCTTGCTGTCTGTGCCCCACCTGGAGAGATTATATCCCCCTTTCTGTCCTGGCATCAGTTGGCTCTAGGACAAAAAGTGAGCAATAGTTCAAAATGTTATAGTTGTCACCTTAGCAGGAGGTGAGGGGAAATCTTCAACGAAGCACAGATGTTAAATTGCAGAAGCAAGGAGGATATACATATATATGTCCAAGCAAAAACTATGCAAGAATGATCCAAGTCCAAATTATAAAATCAAATAGAGAACTTGTGACTGGATTCCATGTCACATGGCAGAGCCTGAACTGCTTTACCAGGATAAATGGGGAAAGCTGAAGTGTTCAGATATGATAGCCTACCCACACAGTCTAAGGCCTGGTTCACACTGAGCGTTTTGTAGTGCTTTTTCTGCCCAAAAATCCCTTTCATTTCTATGGCCCTGTTCACATCTGAGCATTGTGTCGCAATAAGCAAAACGCCTGTCCCTGGAAAAAGTACATGAGCTTTTTTTTTTTTTTTTTTGGGATATTGCAGCTCGTTTTGGCCCCATAGATTCAATAGGAAACACTTGAAAACACGCGTTTGCTGTGTTTTTGCACATGTTTAACATGCGTCTGTTCATTAACATCCAATGAGCTAGAATCTGCTCACAAAAAATGTGCAACTTGATTTATGTGCATAAACCGCACGTAAAAATCCATCAAAAACGCTGTCGCCTAGGTGTAAACCCAACCTCAAGGCTGTAATTGCTGAAAAAGGTGCATCTGTTAATTACTAACTTAAAGGAGAACTATGAGGTGAGTGATTTTCACTCAACCTCCTAGTTCGAGCCGACCTGTGACAATGAAACTGTCACACGTCGGCTCAATAGATCGGGAAGTGAGCGTCGCTCGCTCACTTCCCGATCCTGTCCCTGCAGAGAGCCGTTATTGTCACTCACCTGCAGGGATTTCCCAACCTCCCTGCTCCGATCCTCCAGTGCTGACTGGAGGAACGAACGGGCAGGGGGCGGGTACAGCTGACTCTGCCTCTTGATAGGCAGAGCCAGCTGTCAATCACGCAGTTGGGTGGATCTCAACAGTAATGTCAGGATCCGTCCCGGCTGCTGCGGTCACAGTATACCGCAAGCCATAGCTCGCTGTATACTGAGCTTTGGGTGACGGGGGACACTAGTTTATGTCCTGCCATGACCCTGAGGAGAACTATGAGGAAAAACACTTACCCCATACTTCTCCTTTTAAATAGGGTGTATAATTATGCAATCAATTTTTGTGTGTTTTCATTGTAGTTAACTTTGCAGAGAACTGTTTTCACATTGACATGAAAGAGTTTTCTGTTGATCAGTGTAAAAACAAACAGCAAAATTAAACCTACTGTGATTCAAGGTTCTATGGCAATAAAACATGAAAACTTCCAAGGGGGTAAATACTTTAGGAACTGTATCTAATCTAATGTATACAAATCTTGGGCACTTTTAAGTCTCATACTACCCTTATACACATAGCTTTAGTTTTGGCCTACCCCCTCAGGGACGTGTAAGTAGATGAAACCTGAAGACCTCTGGCATAACTAGACTTTCAAATCGAAATAGGAGGGAATGTATGTTGACACAGAGACAGGTCAGAAATGTAGGATTTTTGACTTGCATGGAAAATCCTTTTCTTAGAGTACAGTACATGATGCAGGTCAGTTAGGATGGATGGTGGTAGCGTCAGGTGCCTTGGACACTGGCCAGAGTAGTCTGGAGCCTATGCAACCCCTACCCACTACTGCAGATCCTCAGTTATTTAAGAGCAATGAACACATAGGACATAGAAGGGAGGGTGAGGAGTCCAGTACTGTATTCCAAGAAAAGGATTTTTACAGATAAGTCAAAATTCTATGTTTTTTTAATCGTACAGGACAGATGGAACTTCCAAAAGCGATAGTGAAGGGAGGGAACGGCACAGAACAGATCTAAACTATTCAGCTGCCTAAAGAAACAGACAACCAAAAGCAGCCTCTGTTAAATCCTGCACATCTACCTTGTAAAAGTATGAACAGAGAACCACATGGCCGCTCTACACATCTGCTGTGCCGAGGTCTGATGAGCCAGTGCCCAGGAAATACTGACTGCTCTAGTGGAATTAGCCTTTATAGGAAAAGGTGGGGGACAGGCCTTTACATTCATAGGCCTGCACTACTACTTATCAAATTCAACGAACCATCATGGAACTGGACGCTGGTAAGTGCCTATGAGATCTGACAGGAAGAACAAACAATGAGTCTGTCTGACGAAAGGAAGCAGTAGCTACAAGATAGGCCTGCTAAGCTCTGATCACATCTAAAGAATGTAAAGACTTTTCCTTACGATTCTGACGGTCTGGGAAAAATTAAGGCAACACAATACCTTGATTAAGGTGAAAAGAACAAAACTACCTTGGGTAGGAAGGTCTGTCTAGGCCTAAGAACCACTCTGTCATCGTGTATGACAAAAAAGGGCTCCTTGCAGGACAAAGCTCCCGACTCTGAAACCCACCCTAGCTGAGGTAATGGCTACGAAAAACACCATCTGCCATCGAAACTCTCATGCTGTCTAAGGAGTCACTCAAGTCCTTATCAGACAGGCTTATCTTTAAAGAGTTGCAGCCTTCTGTCATTACTCCCAAAGCAAGAGACTCTTTTGCCTCGTATTGATGCAGTGCATGCCGCTCTGAAACTAGAGGATCAGTCTGTTGCTTCTACCGTTTCTATTTCCAGTGTTGAGTCCTTTAGAATACCTAAGACCGCAAATACTTTCCTGGTACATCTGCTGTTCCAAGTCTTTTAAAGGGATTGGAAAAACCCTAAAAGGCTTATTAGCCTTTTACCTGATTAAAGAGGATTTTTGTAAAAGATGCTGTGACCCTGGATCTGTCTTAACAAAGTGACTACCATACTTGTGGAGAATACTCCAGTTTTGTTGTTGTTGTTGTAACAAACAGTTTATTCGTTTTTTAATATAAAATAGACAAGCATTTTACGCACATTTATATGGTGGCAAAATATCGTGCATACAGTCAAAGATAAACATATGATGTAGATTCAAGTATTTACATTGTGTTGATAGCCATTGTAAAACCAAAAAGAAAGGATAAAGAAGGACGTAAGATCGGGTACAAAGTTCATCGGTGTTGGCAATAGCGGCAGTGACCTAAAGCTAATGCAGGAGGTTCGCAGTCAATGGCCTGGGGGTGAATACTGCAGTTTTTAAGGACCCAATATGAATAGAAACAAAATGTTCAGACCTCCAGTACCAGTGGTACTCAAACCCACAAAGTCTCCCCACACATATATGAAAAATCTTCATAACTTTATTGTACTTCATACTCAAACCTAAATCTGAGAAACGTGAAACAAACACTCCTAAAAACATTTAAAATATCCCTAGCATGCCTGTCGAGCTACTATGTACCATCCAATAATTACTAATGTTTTCAGGATACTATATATCCTGGTGCTGCAAATGATATCTCTAGGAATACAATTTGTTTGCAAACAGGGAAAGACTTGAAGTCTTATTGGGAAAGGTGAAAAGACTGATGTGTATGCCAATTTGGATTGTAGAGCAGATAGTAGGACTAAAAGAGTTGTACATCTAGGAGACAGTCAATTACCTCTTGTGGGCATAGTGTACATGTGACTCAGAAATAGCTCCATATAGCTGACTCTATTTAACATGCACTATATTGCCAAAAGTATTGGGACACCCCTCCCAATCATTGGATTTAGGTGTTCCAATCACCTCCATGGCCACAGGTGTATAAAATCAAGTGCCTAGGCATGCAGTAGTATACAAACAGACTGCACTATCCAGAGAATTCCAATACTTCAGACTTTATTCAAATTCACAGCAAATCCAGTATAACTGAATAAAAGTGTATAGACCAGCAAATACCAGCACTGCAAACCCCCCAACCAGCTACAACCTAGGCATGCAGACTGCTTCTACAAACATTTGTGAACGAATGGGTCGCTCGCAGGAGCGACATAGTGACAAGGTACATCAACAAACATGCAGGTAGAAATACATGGCATGTGTGTTTGAATTTTGGCAGGAAGGATGTTAGTATGATGTCATGGACTGTTCTAATTGCACTCGGATTAGTGTGTATTTATACCTGCATGTTTGTTGATGTACCTTGTCACTGTGTCGCTTTTAGAAAGGATCCCTGCGTGGACCCGAAACATCAGCACCTTATGACGCTGTGTGACACTTTGCACTTTATTTAATAAACTGGTATTTTGATACTGGATTCCCTGAGCGTGTGCCGGTGATACGCTTGAATCTACTATTGATGTTTGCACGGCACCATCCGTGCGGTCACCTCGAGCACCACAGATGCCTTTTGGAATATAAGACCGTAGGAGTGCGGATGGCACTTGGATTGTGTTCTCTGGAGTGACGAATCACGCTTTTCTCTCTGGTAATCCGATGGACGTGTCTGGGTTTGGCGGTTGCCAGGAGAATGGTACTTGCCTGACTGCATTGTGCTAAGTGTAAAGTTTGGTGGAGGGGGATTATGATGTGGGGTTGTTTTTCAGGGGTTGGGCTTGGCCCCTTAGGTCCAGTGAAGGGAACTCTTAAGGCATCAGCACACATTTTGGACAATTTCATGCTCCCAGCTTTGTGGGAACAGTTTGGGGATGGTCCCTTCCTGTTCCAACATGACTGCGCACCAGTGCACAAAGCAAGGTCCATAAAGACATGGATGGAGGAATTTGACTGGCCTGTACAGAGTCCTCACCTCAACCCGATAGAACACCTTTGGGATAAAT